ATGCACTTTCTCAGGCATACCTGCAGAAGTTGGCAGCATTAGAAAAACAGCCCTCTTTCCAACATGTAGCATTTCGCTGTATCTGTACATTGCTTGAGGCAGCACCTCACTTCAACTTCCGGGAGAGCTTGTTAGGTGTTGTTATCAGAAACATAGGCTCCCCAGATGACGTTGTAAGGTTATGCTCTATCTTTACTTTGGACCTTTGGGTAATTAAACTTACAAGGTGCCCTTGATGGTTGACACAAGAATTTAGAAAAGAGTGTCGTAAAGTTGGAATCCGCAAATGAGCTCTAAAATTGAGCTTCAGAAGCTTTTATTATACTTTAGGATTAAGAAAACGATTTGAGTGGAAACGAGTTCTTTGTTTAGATTTTCATTTTTACTTTTATCTGAAAAATCATAAAGGTTTGTAGACTTGGTTAAGGACTTCTGATATTTCTGGCTGTAGAGTGCGTGGGTGCTGAAACACCTTCATTCACTTAATAAGAGTTCATTGTAAAGGTATTAATCATTTTTGTCAATATATATATATATATAAATTATAAAGATATAATTCTTATTTCATAATTATAATGACTTTGGTATGGTTCTCTGTAAAGATGCATTTGAATGCAAAAATATACATATGCACATATAAATAAGATTCAGATATATGGATGTGTTGTAGTTTTCATAATGAAGTTGAGATACCTCGTCGCTGATTCCAGTCTACACATGTTGTGCTCATGTATGGGTCGATGCTTGTCTCTTATTTACTCACATGCTAAGTATGTCAACAATCATACCCAAATTTCTTTTTCACTCTTTCATCTGTCTAATCGTGAACTACTTGTTAACAGGAAACTATGTTGTTCAACTGTAAAGTCACTTTTTACAAACGAGGGAAAACATAATGGCGAAGCTACTGTGGAGGCTGTTCGTTTAATTGCAAATCATGTGAAAGCTCAGAATTGCCAACTGCACCCTGATTCATTGGAGGCATGCGATTACTTTTCTACTTGTTATTTATGTTTATATTTTAGACAAATTTTTTGGCTGATTGACTCAATTCTGGATTGTTTTGCCTTACCTAAACAGAAATATGATCAATGCTGTTGTTTAATAACAATAAGCGTTGAACTTAGCCATAAAGATGTTAAAAAAATTGGCGATTATATGGATTCAAGATATGGGTCTAAGTTCCATAGTTATGGCTGTCACCTACTCTTGGACTCCATGTTCAGACAGCTAGATGACAGATTTATTGAGTTTTGTTTAATAAGCGCTTTACTTTTTTACGTTTGCAACTGTAGATAGGCTCTCCCAGGTTATTTTTCTCCTGTACATCATGCATATTGTCAATCTCCATGCTTATTGTTTTGAATACCTGTGCAGGTTTTCTTGTCTTTGTCATTTGATGAAGATCTTGGGAGGGCTGCAAGAGATGAGAAATTTAAACCCCAAAGCAAGAAAAGTAAGAAAAAGAAGCATTATGAGGAGGCTCGTCAACAGAAGGAAAATGAAAAGAAACGGAGCAGGCAAGAATTATTGGCGAAGACTAGAGAGGAGGTGTTTTATTTGTTCGAAAAATCCATTGACTTCTTGATTGTGCTTGTTTTTTTTTGCTCCTCAACATGTTGACGTTTGTAATGTTGTACATAGGTTGTTGCTGATTACAAGGCTGTTGCTTTTGCCCCAGATGTTATGGAGCGGAGAGGAATGCAGACAGAGACACTTTCTGCTGTATTTGAAATATATTTTCGTATATTGAAACATACAATGCAATCAGCTGCCAGGTTGGTTAGCACATTGTGATTCTAATAACGTTCATTATGAATATCCTGAGTTTAATTTAGCTTAAAAGACAAACTAGAGCAAGAAATAGCAGATTGCTCATACAGTATGAAGGTGATTTTGAAATGTATCTTAGCATAACCGACAGCATTTCCTTGACAAGAAATAAGTTGCATTTAACATAAAACTCCCAGCCAATGAAGATGATTTTGAAATGTATATGCCTTAAGTGCTTATCCGCCCATTAAGGAGCTAGGTATCCGATTCTGTCCTTCATAAGATCCATCTCCTCTACCTTGTCATTCAAAATGCTGTTATTTTGAATCTATTTATTGTTAAAAGTAATTTAGTTATTGTTGATCCGTATATTTTTTTTACCTTTTGGTAAACATGAATGTTCTTCCATGTTAATTTGTAGATGGCATAATCTCGAATGAGCTTCTTTATGAATACTCTGAAATCTGAATGCATGTGCTTTATTTTGACGAACTAGATATTCACAAGCAGTAATGGTTGCTTTGAGAGTGATGTTTGAAATTGGAGGTATATTCAGTTTTTGAGTCTGTTATAGATATGCTTGATTGAATGTGGCAAGCATTTATAATTTGCTTTTGGGTAGTTGATGAATTTTTTCTTCCTCTATATTTTGAATTTCAAATGAATTGATCAATTTCCCTTTCTTATCCACTCAGATCTGAAGCAAATGCTGGTTCATCAACTGGTGCAGCTGAGCCCCACCCTTTACTTGCTCCGTGTCTGAAAGGACTAGGAAAGTTCTCGCACCTAATTGACTTGGATTTCATGGGGGATCTTATAAACTATCTGAAAAAGCTAGCTTCTGCTGGTAGTGATTCTGAGAATACTTCAAAATGTTTGACTGTATCTGAACGCCTCCGTTGCTGCATTGTTGCATTTAAAGTGATGAGGAGCAATCTCGATGCCTTAAATGTTGATCTTCAAGACTTCTTTGTCCAGCTTTACAATATTATACTTGAATATAGGCCTGGAAGGTACGTACCAAATTAAAATCCCAGAATTTGCTATGGTAAAACATTTCTCTACCTCCTGTGGCATCTAGTTGGTATCTTTGTTCATTTTAGATGAAGTAGATAAACATCCCCAGATTCCTACACCCATATATGCTGGAGTTCTGGAACTTAATTTGCATCTTTATACTGAAAATATGTGTTGTGATAAGCTTGTTTCCCGTGATAGTTTATTGATTTTCATCTTAGACACTAGTATAAGTGCATGCTTTTTAGGTCAAATTTACACACACACACACACTCTCTCTCTCTCTCTCTCTCTCTCTCTCACCCCCTTTTCTGGGTTTCTGTGTGGTTTATGTTTTATCGTTGTAATGACTAAACATCTTATCTACTGTTTGTATTTATGGAAACAGAGATCAGGGCGAAGTATTAGCTGAAGCTCTGAAGATGATGCTGTGTGATGATAGACAACATGACATGCAGAAGGCTGCTGCATTTGTAAAGCGTTTGGCTACATTCTCATTATGTTCGGGATCTGCAGAGTCCATGGCTGGTATGTTATTGTTAAGCAACGAAGCTATCAATGCCTTGTTATGGATTGCTTATCCATGTTGCCATCTGAATCTTTTGCAGCTTTGGTTACTTTAAAACATCTTCTTCTGAAGAATGTCAAGTGCCGGAATCTGTTAGAAAATGATGCTGGAGGTGGCTCAGTGTCCGGTTCCATCGCAGTAAGCAATCATGCTACTCTTGTTTGTCTGTTAAGCATGTTTCATGCTATTTAATAAATTGTAGCCAAGATTTGTCTGTTATTCAACATAGCTTTTATCTAAATTATAATCCACGGTATAGAGGCCAAAACTATCATTAAAATGATTAATTTGAAAAGCAATCTTCATTAAAGTGATTCTTATCATGATTTCTTTTTATTTATAAATGATTTTTTTATTATATGTGCTTTTGGTTTGGTACATTTAGAATTATTACGCTAACAATCTCGTTATGTTGATTGATCTAACACTCTCCCTCCCGATGCACAGAAATATCACCCAGATGTTTCAGACCCCAACTTAAGTGGCGCTCTTGCTTCAGTTCTTTGGGAACTCAATCTTCTCTCCCAGCATTATCATCCAGCAATCTCAAATATGGCTTCAAGTATATCAACCATGAACACTGCTCATAACCAGGTTTATCTCTCGACCATCTCTCCTCAACAAGCTTTCATGGAATATTCCTTGGAGAGGCCGGAGTCTTTCAACCCGCCGAACGACATAAAAAAATCAACTAACAAGAGAAAAAGAGGAAGTGGGTCTTCTTTATTAGCTGGGATAGAACCGTCTGCAGATACGAGTCCAATTGATGAAGATGATGTGAGAAAGAAACTGTCTGCTCATTTTGCGCTTCTTCGTGACATTAAGGAGAATCAGAGTTTGAGGGCTAAGCTAGATAGTACTACTACGTCTATACAGCTATATGAAGAGTATAAGCAGCATAAGAAGGCTAAAAAGCCGAAAACCAAGAAAAGTAAAACTTCGTTAACTGTCAAGTGACATTGTCAGTCTTGAAAATTTTGTATTCGGGCAAATGTATGAGCTTATTATTCACTATATACTCTTTCCATTTAGGATTCATGTGTAATATTCTTCTGTTTCTAATTAACAAAGTTGGTGTGAAAGCTCCTAAAATTTTGAAGTTCTATAATTTATCCGTCTCAGTATTTTTCATTAACTCTTGCTGAAAAATGATATAGAAGGTTGAAATGTTATTCGAATATCATATCTAATGTGAATTTAGACTAACTTATTATCCTAGCTTTTAGATCTTAATTAATGTTCCAATCATTCACTATCTAGAGCCAATGATGCAATGAGGATACGTCTAAACTATCTTTTTTCCCTTTGATATAAGCGATAGTAGAGAAGTGAAAATTAAACTCGGGATTTCAAGTACAAAAGCAAATGCTCTTAAGTGACTTAGTCGTAGAACTCCTATATACTTACACCATCAACTAGGAAGCACACAAACAAAATGAATAGCGGAGCTTCCATGCAGTTGTACGTTTCTTGTAAGTGGGATCTCATTCTCAACCATATCCCTTCATGGGGACCATAGCATAGCCACAGATATTTGAGTGATGCTAATTAACTTCACCCCATGCCACTTTCTCAGCTTATAAAACTGAGCATGTGCCACGTGGCTAAACCTCATTAGCTGGTTGTATATCTACAACCCCAACTCATTCTTCCAAGTTTCCAATCCCAAAGGAAGAACCTTTGAACAAAGAACGCATACCGGTAGTGGTAGACTTGCTTGATTTGAAGCTCAATATTCAAATATGGAGACCAGTGTTGCATGCTATGCCAGGGGAGCCTTCCCAGTGCGGGATAATGTTTCATCTCAGCATTCAAGCTCTCTTTTCTCTCCTGCTTCCATCTCTCCATCCTTCAATTCCAAGGTATTAATAGTTTGGAGTTTTCAGCCATTAATTAATTTAATAGACACACATAAATGCATGCACATATTTTGGCATGTTCATACAAGTAACTTCTATCATTTGGTCAGGATATTGTATCCGTCGCTTTTCACTCAAGTTCGAATTTCTCATTAGAATACCGTCTCTTAAAAAAACAGATGCATACAACTTTATAATAGATATATTCTTTTGACGTGCCGCTCAAATGAAAATGGTAAGTCAAGTTAATTGAAGGGTTTGTGTGTATGCATGGCAGGTGTTGAGAACAAGCTCTCTATTTGGGGAATCATTGCGGTTGGTGCCAAAGTCATCCCTAAAAGTTTTGAAGACAAAGAACAATTCAATTGTTCCCAAATGTGCAATTGGTGATAGCTTGGTAAGACAAAAAAAGCACTTTGTGATTTGTTATTGTTATTTCCTAAAAGTTAAAAGCGGCTTTAGAGAGGAGAGCTTAAAAACCAGTTTAGGCAACAAGGTTTTCTTTCTTTTTTTAGCTTTAAGAGGAGTTATTTTTAATTGGAGCTTTAAGAGGAATTATTTTTTAATTTACTTATTTGTGATTGTAGGAAGAATTCTTAACAAAGGCAACCCCAGATAAGAAATTGATCACGTTGTTGATATCAATGGGGGAAGCATTGAGGACCATTGGATTTAAAGTGAGGACAGCATCTTGTGGAGGAACAGCATGTGTGAATTCTTTTGGAGATGAGCAGCTTGCTGTGGATATGCTTGCTGATAAGCTTCTTTTTGAGGTCACACTCAATCTATATGATTCATGCCCCAATCAATTCACATGTTAAATATTGAAGAATGTAAACATTGTAAAGCCCCGCGTCGGAAACCTAACAAAATTAAATAAAACTTAAATTGCAGGGCTCCTATACTAATTGCTTCGAGGCTTTTTGATAAAACCCCAACCCCTCTGAAATCTTGATGACATGATATCAGGGCAGCCGAACTTGAGAATATTGTGAAAATCAATTTTCGTGTTTCAACAATGTAGGCCTTAACTTACTCACATGTCTGCAAATATGCTTGTTCTGAAGAAGTTCCTGAGCTCCAAGACATGGGAGGCCCAGCTGAAGGTCTGCTATTCTTGTTTCGAGTTACATATTTTCATATTGAGCACACAATATTTGAACTTTGTAGACTTTAAAAGGGATGCTGAGAGTCTGAGAAGGTTGCTTACAAGTTAAACATAACGTAAACAGGTGGATTCAGTGTTGCTTTTGATCCATTGGATGGATCCAGCATCGTTGACACGAACTTCACAGTGGGGACAATTTTCGGGGTGTGGCCAGGAGATAAGTTAACTGGGATAACAGGAAGAGATCAAGTTGCTGCAGCCATGGGAATTTATGGGCCTCGAACGACATATGTTCTTGCTATTAAAGGCTTCCCCGGCACCCACGAGTTCCTTCTTCTCGATGAAGGTTAGTTTTCGGTCATAGAATTAAATTCCGAACAATGTTGTTCTCAAACAGTAATTTGATCAGCTCACTTCTATTTTACACTTTGAACTTACTGCATGGTTCTTCCCACAAACTTCTCCTCTACCTATAATACAAAAAAGAAAATCTAATACAAAATAGTTATCAAACGGGCCTTAAATTTTTATCGGTTCTCTATAAATGCATTGGTCAGGAAAATGGCAACATGTGAAAGAGACCACAGAAATTGGTGAAGGAAAGCTCTTCTCTCCTGGAAACCTGAGAGCTACGTTTGACAACCCTGACTACAGCAAGGTCATTTCCTATTTCCTTTAACTTTATTTTACTGATGTTTTAGAGGACTGTAAAAAATATTTTGCTGATGGGGATGTTTCTTGAATTTTCATCTACCAGTTGATTGACTACTATGTGAAAGAGAAGTACACATTGAGATATACCGGAGGAATGGTTCCGGATGTTAACCAGGTCTTCACTTATCTCGATTAACATCAGCTTCCATTGAGTTTAGTTTATTTTTTCTTTTCGTACAATATGCGATATTCTATTTTACACTAATCTAGATTGTGGAGGAGGATTTGGACTCGGGTGCATAGACAGCACAATCACTCTAACCAATGTGACACATCCACTATTAATTTGTAGTAATTAAGCAAATATTGCATCTAAAAAACTAACAAAATTTTGGTCTGCAGATTATTGTAAAGGAGAAGGGTGTCTTCACTAATGTGATATCCCCAACCACCAAGGCTAAGCTAAGACTGTTGTTTGAGGTTGCTCCATTAGGGTTGTTGGTTGAGAATGCTGGAGGGTTCAGCAGTGACGGGCACCAGTCTGTGCTCGATAAGGTAATCGTTAACCTTGATGATCGGACTCAGGTTGCTTATGGATCCAAGAACGAGATTATCCGTTTCGAAGAAACTCTGTATGGATCCTCCAGGCTCAAGGGAGCAGTGCCTGTTGGAGCTGCTGCTTAGTGACAAACTTTCACATTGTTCATTATTTCAACTTTTGTTTTTTATGTTCTTTTTTGTTGGGAAAAAAATGAAGCTATATATATCTCAACTAGTAATTGTAAAATTAGAGACACCAGGTTGAATTTGTATTGAGAAGTAAGATGATACATTTTTCTTCACCCTTTGAGTGAATGCTAAAAGAAATACAACTCTAAAGAAAAACAAAACTGTCTGTACTACATTCTACAGTCACAGAAAAACATAAGCAGTGCACCTTCAATGCAAAATAACAGGATACCAAAAGAGGATTTGCTTGATGGAGAAGAACAGATATGTTGAACCAAATGTTGGGTTTTTTTAACTGGGCTTGGGCCAACTTTTAGGCCCAATGAGAATGTAATGCCCTAATCCATAATTTTGGTTTTCCAACCATATCTGTATCATGATTCATGACATCAACCGTGCTAACTACAAATTTGGAAATAGTGAAGAATAAAGAGAGAGACATGACGGTAGCTCATGTCGGAGGTTCAAGGTATTAAACTTTAGGAATATAGAAGTTTGAATATAAGTATAAGCATTAAGAGTTATTTGCAATATTTGTAGGGCTGTTCGCACAATTTGCAAAATTATTAGGATGAAATTGCAACATCAAAACTAGCAACTAAACACCATCTGCTTAAATTGAGCTTGGACCTGGTTAGAAGGAACCTTAAGCTGCACTAAAGTGATACTTCATGTTTAATTAGTAGTTCATTCTCGTCGTGTGCCACCTCCTACTTTAACATAAGCTGAGTCTTTTTATTTCCAACTCCTATCAAAACGGTCAGTTTGTAAGAGAAGGATCTAAGATAAGTAATTCAAGAGTTACCTTGAAAATTATAGTTGGAAATTCGTAGTTTTAGTCTTTTCGTTCAAGTAAATGAGAGATTTTTCAATGTGGCTGGAACAAGAATACAAACGCCATATGTCTTTATACAAGTGGATGGACAATTTTAAAAAAAACTTTCCTCCACTTATATAATAACCACTGTTCTAAAAATCCCCACCTAGCGCCGCCTAGGTGCTAGGCGGCTGGTCACCGTTCCGATTAATGCTTAGGCATTTGAAAATTAAGAAGGGGCGCCTAGACTTGTTGAGACGCCCACCTAGACCATCTAGGCACCTGCCTAGCCCACTCAGACCCGCATAAGCACTCGCCTAGGTTGCGACTCACTTCGGCAGAAAATAGATAACTTTCATTTGCATTTTATTTTTCTTCAATAAATTGTAAGAGACTTGTTGAATACTTAAATGAACACACATTATATGCTTGTTCTCCATATTTTCATCATGTTCCAATACGTCATAATATATATGTCATTCTATTGGTAGGTTATGATGAAATTTTATATATTTTAAGTATAAACAAGCACTTATTTACACAAAATAGATTTACTTAAATCCGTCTAATCCGCCTAGGCCCCCGCCTAGGCGCTAGGCCCCAGCCCATTGTCCGACTAGCGCCTAGCGTCTTTTAGAACCTTGATAATAACATATGGCGTACCGCCCGTGTTCCAGGCACACTGAAAATCTCTCCAAGTAAAGTTCTTACGATTATATTTGATTTGTTATGCTTCAATCCTTCTAAACCTTCGAAATCTTTATTATATTAAGCTACTATAATCATGTGTTTATTGTTTCCTATTAGATATGTTTGCATCCATATCATTGTTTAAATGAAACTCATAAGTGAATAGGAATTATAGTGTATGAATCTATAGTTGATTCGGTTAATATAACTGTGTGCGTTATCTTCAGTAACCTGAAAGCTAGCCATGTAATTTATTGAACTGTTTTTGGTAACTCTTTCCATTTGAGCCGTAATAATGTACGTTATCTTTTTTTTATTCAAACGATGTTCAGGGAGAGAAAATCAAATACATGATATCAGATATATAAATAATACTCCTACTATTTAAGCCAAAAACCCTTAGCAGTCCTACATGTGATCATATATTCATTCCCCAAAAACCTGGATCCAATAGATTAATGGCGGCATAGTTAGTTAGGCTTTTCCAATCTATATATGAAAAACCAACACCCTTAATTAGTACCATGTGCCAAAAACCTCTTGTTATATAGCTAGACAAATTATCGACATAAATAGCAAATTCAACTGATTTTTTTTTCTTCTGTTGAGATATTGAAAAGCGTAGTCTTTAAGGATTATAGAGATGCCATCTCTTAATTGATTAAACAAATGTGAGTAAAGTATACAAAAATTGTACTATATCTAAATCTCAGCTTGCATGTGATGGGCAAGTGATCGTTTCCAGAAAAAAATTGTTCACTCATGTTCCATTAATGGAGATTCTGAATCCCACAGCAGAAATACCTTGGCTTAACTCGTAAAATAATAACATTATTAACAATAATCATATACATTTACAAATAATTAGATTCACATTAAACATATGCGCTTCTTCTTCTCGAGCATTAGTATACGAACCACTTGACGGTGACTTATGATCTTGAACATGACTGCGGCTGCTACAATTCAAACCCTATATATTGTACTTAATTATAATTAATCGTCAAGGTTCCATGTGCAGCAACTTCCAAAACCAATCTTTATTATTAAGACGCCACGCAGTTCATGCAGTTTCCGAATTTAATTAATTAAGTTTTGCAAGTATTATTTCTGTTATCATATATTTGATTAATATTGTATAAGGCCTGCAGGTGATGCAGACTAATCAGAAGCTGCAAGGCCGGCATTTATTTACATATATATATATATTACCTGCAGGCTCAGCAGCATTTTATATAACTCAAATAATAATATATATTTGTGATGAATGGCCAATTCAAGAACCGAACTCTTTGACTAAAAGCTTTTGTTAATTCTATATTTGGTGTGTGAATTAAACAAGGTATGAACGCATTGGACTGCGAATCAATGAATCAAATATTATCATAAACTCCAAGTCGATCGAATGGTGGGTTTTGCCAACTTTCTTGGAAGTTATAACTTATGATTATTCATAAAATTGAGGGTATGACTTCCATCTATAAAATCCTTTCATTTTAATTCATTTTTTTCCTCTTGTTTTAACTTTTAAGACGTAATTACAATAGTTCATTACTTTAAATAGAACAACGTGTAAGTGTGTGTGTGTCTATATATATATATATGGCAAAGCCAGGATTTGCCGAGGCAAGGAGCGAAATTCAAAAGAGTGTAAGGTTCAATCGAAGCAGTTGCTTTCACATTGGAATTGGGGTATCAAATTAGCATAGGATGGTCTGGTTGGGACTTGGCTTATGTGCTGCCGCCACGTGCCGCCGCACGCGGCGATCGGCCGCCCTTACTCATCGGTAAAAAAAAATCAACTATTTCTAAAAATGACCAAATTTCACAGAAATGAAGATCTCAATGAGTAGAGCAAGTTTTATACATGTGGCCAAGTCCAATTTGGCCGGGAAAAGCTCCAATTTCCCTCGAACCTGCCAGAAACCCTAGAAAGGGTGAAACTTGTCAGAACGGCATATTGTTGCCAAGAACCATCGGTGTTACTGTCACCAAACGCCATAAATTTGGCCTAATTTCCGTTTAATCTTGGGTGAAAATTGAAGGAGAAGAAGTATGATGGTGATTGTAGATGAAGGTGGGGTGAAAATCGCATGAAAAACTGCTGAGAACCGCCAGATTTCATCAGTTCAAAACCAAGTTATCGCGGGTGTAGAGGTTGACAGGAAAGGGGTTTCAGTTCCCTCTTTTCTTTTCTCTCCTTTCCCATCCCTTCTCTTCCTTCCCATTGGTCCATCTCTCTCCCTTCTCCTTTCTGATTGGGTCTCACTCTCCTCTTTTCTCTCCTCTGATTGGACAGCAGCCCTCTCTTTTCTTCTTTCCTCCATCAACCATTCCCCTTTCCTTCATTTCCCTCAACCAAAAAAATAAAATAATAATAATAAAAACTATGAGAGATATATAAAATAATAAATAGTAATTTTTACAAAAGTACTTTTCGAATTTATAGTTTCGTAAAACCCTATCATAACTCTGGTTTCGATTCTGCTTGCACTCACGCGTTCATATTGTCGAGTACTACAGGGATACACTAAAAGAACATTTTGTAAGTCTCACTATAAGCTGGTCAACGAAAGTCAATACCCTCACCTCTAGAGCATTTTCATTAATTTACTCATTTAAAATTAATAAAATTGTAAAAATGGGGACGGGTTGTCACAAAATTGCTTCTAAAGAGAAGCACATAAGATGTGTGTTTCTACAAAATCACTTTAGATGAGTGACTTCTTGAGAGACACCTCACATGTACTTCTTCGTACACTTAACGTGATTTTCTGAAAAAGCACCTCTCATAAACTTTTTCCTACAACACTTCAAAATTATAGGATGATTCGAGTCCCTCTATTTGTTTAGTCTAATATTTTTTTTTACTAGAAACCTTAGGCATTAAAAGCTACATATCAAAACTGTAACCATATATCAACCCTATTTCGTTCTTTCGGCAATCACAGTAATTAAAAATTGAACGTAAGTAGCTAGAGTACATGAAATTCATATTGTTGCCGCTCTTCGTGACACTTCTCCTAATATGTTTGTGATTGAGAATATCATTGAAGACACGAAGACGTTAATGGCAACGCTCATTGGAGTTTCTTATACCCATGTATATCGTCAAGCCAATGGCATTGATGCGCGTACCGCTCTTCTCTCGGGAAACAATTGTAAGTGGGATGAGCTCCCTCCGGATCCCATTACAGATTTATTAGTTGAGGAAACTGGAATGTAATCGTTATCCCTTTGTATTTTCTCAGAGCTTTTAATGAAATCTACCGTCTTTTATCAAAAAAAAAAAAAAAAAATATATATATATATATATATATATATATCATCAGACAGAGTAATTTCACTAGGCAAAAAAGTCCAACACATGATTTGCCTTCACGACTACTTTTAACTTTTGCGCCTTATATATCTTGTTTCCACAAAGGAATTTTCTAACTACACTAATTATTTAATTCTCCTTAGATTCTATAGAATTAAACATATATAGTAAGGTAATATTAGGGAGGTTAAATTTATAGATAAAATTTACAAACCAAATGATGTGTTATCCATAGAAAATGAGCACGTTTATCGACGCTTAAGCAATAATCCAATCGTCTATTTTCATGTCATTTAGTTTACAAAATTTTGTCCATAAATTTAATTT